TGTTGCCAGAAGATAGTATTTAAATACTTAACTAGTTAACTACAAATTAAGTTAATTATTAATGGTATAATAATTAAATGCATTCAATATTTTGGCTTCTTTTTAATTTAATTTAAAATTTTAATTTTTCAAACACTGCCTAAAAAGAACACATCAAACGAGTGCTTTAGGTTATCTTTACCTGTAGAAGCTGCTAAAGGCAACACAGACTTGCTGCTGTAGTTTTGTTACTCTGAATTTACTCTGCATCACTTAAAGCACAGCTCTGTTTTGACATTGTCAGATAGTTCATTCCGTCCATTGCTACAGTTATCTTATCACCGTCAATAGCGGATCAATTTGGCGGATTCACTCATGTTTGTCATTCCTGAAACAGTATATGTGGACAGTTTGGTCCTCTTAAACTTTTCTTCAAACTGTGAATGAAGTAAAAACCGAGCAAAGAACGCTTCCCTTATAGCGTAACTGTCCGAGCTTACTCGCGCGGAAACTCCTGATATAATCAATAACTAACTACACAATGAATATCTTATTTACATCGTGTATGCATTCTTTTTGTCTTGTGATAACAGGAAGATCTGTGAGCATGTAGAACTACATAAACTTGCGGAAACAAAAATTAGATCGGAGCGGATTCCAACTAACGTGCAGTAAACGCCTCTGATTGGCCATTGCTTTCAACAGAGAAGCCTGTGATTGGCTACAAAACTCAACTCTGCAAAACACGTAAATAGAAACTTTTGGTTTTGTAATTCGAAACCAGAGCATGCACACAAAAACACACAGGAGCGTTTGAAAGCGGGTGACTTCAAGCAGGTTGAGTTGGTACACTTTAAAAAAACGCGGATCTACACGAATCACACAAATGACCCATTTTGAATTCAAAATGGCGAATTTCACCGAAAGGTGACAAGTTTGCATCCCTGGTACTGAAACTTGCCAAGCGGTGACGCTGGTGATGTGCACGTTTTTCTCGGTACCACCTATAATATGCTGCTGCTAAGTGCAACCCTAGCTAACCTGTTTCCCAGTAACCCTATTAGTAACTGGACTATTACCAGTTAGTGGTCGACCGATATATCCCCAAGGTCGATATATCGGCCGATATTTGGCATTTTTCAAATATCGGCATCGGCCGATAAGTTTTTCTGTTTGGCCGATGAGTTCGAGGCAGGACTTTTATTTTGTTGGCGCTGAGAGAGGCAGCGCCTGTGCACACAGCGTTCACATTCTCCTTGTTCACGTAACAGTTCTTAACAGTCGTCCTTAACAGTTCTGTCTAATACGGACAGAAATCTGTCTAATAATCAGAAAGAACTGTTAAACAAAGGAATTAAAATGTATACAAAAAAAAGTATTATAACGATTGCTTTTATATTATTATTTACAGAAAGGCAAACATTATAATACGTTCTCGTTTGCCGTCAGCATTCAGCAAATACGCATTCATATCATTTAAACAAATCTTTGAATGACTAATGAACATTTCATTGAAATATGATTCCCAAATCCCAATGCACACAAACTTCCCAGATTACTGAGTGCCCTGTTAGTTACAGTGCTTACTTCCTTTTTAATTATATATTTATTAAATATTTATTTATATATTTATAAATATGTTTATTTTACACATTTATTATTATTATTATTAATATTATTTAAAATTTACCAATATCGGTCGACCACTATTACCAGTAATTCATCTTGCAAATAATTAAACGAAAATAAGATGGAATTAACAACGAAAACGTTTGTCATATAATTATCCTTAAGTCAATCTCATCTCCATCATTTACCGCTGTTATGTTTCCTCTTTTCCTCCTCTTCTTGCTTTTTTCCGCTTCTGGCTGCCAGATGGATATATAAGTGCTCTTCAAGTTTAAATTAGCAAATGCACAAGTAAGCGCTGTGCCAGTTTGAAAAGGAAAAGGAAAAAGCAAGCACATCTAGTGTAATGCGAGAGGGGTCCCCCTAGGGGGGATGCAGATGTGTTGCTCCATGTTATATTAATAATGACATTTTCGATTGTTCAAATGGTCAGCTGTCGGGGGCCCCCTCAAAATGCGGGGCTCCAGGCAATTGCCTGCCCTATTGCTACGCCTCCGTTTATATGGAATGATATGAAATTGAAAATGAAATAACAAACGTAAATGTCTTCACTGTTACTTTTGCTCCATTTAATGTGTTCTTGATGAATAAAGATTTTTTTTTTTTAAAGAAATTCTTACTGACTCTAAACATTTTAACTGTAGTGTATATGTGTTTGTATGTGTGTTTGCATTTTTTAACTCTGTGTTACATGCTGATGAAGAATATGAATGCGAATATGAAGATGAAAATGTCAAAGCCGCTATAAATGTCTCTACTGAGTCAAGCTTGCTTAATAAAGAGATACCAAAGAGGTGAAAGATAGAGAGCGCTATCAAGTAGTGGAAGTATTAGGTAAGGAAATGAGACCAATTAATAATAGCCGTTTCATTACTGAACTCTACAGGGTGTTGCTAAGCGTCAAATGCAGAAGTAGGCCGCTACTGGTTAGACAGCCTAATTAGCATGGAGAAACAGGGCATGGGGTCGTGGCCTCATAACAGGCATCTAGTCTCGTATTTGGGTAGACACAAGCTATCATTAAGGTATGAAACATATAAATGCATTTACATGCAAATTTATATATATGTACTGAGCATCACATGAAATCCTTCATGCAGGAATAATAAGTAAAAAGGACTAAATGCACCTTTATGCTTGGACTAGATCTACAATACTAATGCTGAAAAAAGTCAGTGGAAGCAATTTTTGTCTTATTAGTTGATTATGTTTGTCAATGCGGTACACAAACTGAAAATATCCCAAATGCAGGAGAGATATGTATCACTTATCATTTTTGGGAGGGTTTCAGATAACATTTAGAAGCCTTAAGGCTAGGAAATTATTATTTTTTTAATTATGAAAAAAATAATGCATTAAAATTAACAACACATTTTAATGCACCCCTCCCTGCCCAGACCTGTACGTCATCTTACACTGCATGCAGCTGCTGACAAACATGATGCAGAATGATGACTTAACATAATGTAGCTTATGAATGCAGTTTTATGCCTGTAATATTCAAGATATGAAGGCAAAAAAATGCCCCTGCATGGGTTTTTGTCCTAAATTTATATCATATGATATAGTTTAGCAACATCACAGAAGCAAGAGTGCTGTTTTTTCCTGATTTCGCTTATTTTTGCAGATTTTTGTTTTTTCCTGTTTTGCTACAGATGAGGTTAAGAAACAAATTTCCTTGATGCGCAAAAAACCTCCTGCATGAATATATGAATGTCAGAACATGTGGGTTCGTCTATGAACCAAGCTCCTGGACTGTAGCAGTCTCAGTCGCTTATGCAATATAAATATAACAAACACAAACCCTGTCCATAAGGACAGGGCATGGAAACAGAGATAAGAGAGGAGGGAAGGAATACAGACTGTGAAGACAAGAAGAAAAGAGAGAAACAAGAATGGAGGAAGAAAGCAAAAAAGAGACAGAGAAGGCTAAAAGAGAGAGAGAGAGATAGAGCCCACAGCTACTGACACACTTGTCCTATAAATAGTCTTAGCTAAAAATGACTGATTAACTCAAACGCAACCTACTGGCCACTGAGAAATGGTGATAAACGGAGTGACGCGAATTCATTTTTTTAAGTGTGTGTGTAATGCGGAGACAAACACTGGCAGATATGAGGGGGTGGAAGAGGAGAGCTGAAGATTCATTCAGATGTAAAACTGAGCTCACTTTACCCAGACACTGGAAAATATAAAGGGCTCTCATCTCCCTACGGATGAACAGGCAAACATCAACACATACATAAAGCACAGCACAGATGAGACGTTAGAACCTTCTCATTTATAGATACAGAGAAAATCAACCACACCTACAAAATTGTCTATGTTCAGACATGTCAATATACAGTAGTTGTCAGCCCTGTTTTAGAGTGCTAAAAACGGTTACATTCACAAAATGTTCATTTTTGGGTGAACGATCCCTTCTATCCCTGGGTGAACTATCGACTCTTTGAGACTGAATTCAGTAAACTTGTACTATGTGAAGTAGGCTGCACTGGACAATCCTCTTTGACATAATAAAAAACGAGTGCCATTCACATTTTTGTTCATATGGGATCCCAGTAACTCAGTGATGGTAATATGAGCTTTATGTCAGCCAAAGGTTCTAGATTCTGTCACTGGTGCTCCCATCAGTTTCGTGGTCTGAGAGCAACCCAAGCAATATGCTCAATGCTCTCATAAATTTAAAAAGCATTTGAAGCTGCTGTTGGTTAATTAAGATTTGGCAGCCTTGACTAGACTTGGTTATTAAATAACGTTGTCTCAACTGTGATAAGACATTCCAGTGTTACATAAGTCACCATATTTGATACTTACATCAGTCACTGTCACTATATGGTTAAAGGCATGATTTATGGCTATTGCGAGAACAGAAAACAAGCTTGACTCTGGTATTCAAATGAACTCCTCATGGGTCATACCCAAAAACAGATGAATAAATGAACAAACAAAAAGACATACGAAAGAAACAATGAATGAGAAAAAAACTGAAGGAAGGAATTAAAACAGAAACAAATGAACAATGCATGAGCAAAAAAAAAAAAAAAAGGAAAATGAAAACAAAAACGAAAGCAAAAGCAAAAGAAAGAGCAAAAACAGAAAAACAACAAAATAATGGACAAGCAAACAAGTAAGAGAAAGAAAACAATGAAAACAAATAGAAGAAATGAACAACAAATTAACAAAAGAATGGACAAACATTAAAAAAGAAAATTAAAGCAAAAGCAAGTATGAAAACGGAAGGAAGAAAGAAAGAAAGAAAGAAAGAGAAAAAGACTGAGCAGAGTAAGTGTACATAAGGTCACTGCAGCATTGGACCCAGACAGCAATCTGGAAGGCAAACAAGAGCACAAATAAACAGCAAAATGCTCAGACACCGAGAAGAGACTGACCTTAAGCCATTGAAAAGCTGTTTGGACTTGTCCAGGAGATAGCAGAAGTCAGTGACAGTTTTCCTCTCACAGAGAGGGATGTCATCCTCTGCCCCCACCCCCGTCATGGCAGCTGCTGGAAACAAAACAAAACAAAAAAGTGAATTCAAAACAGACCTTCGGCAGAGTTATGCAAAACTGAGTCGTTAGCACAAGCAGGCATCAGTGGCGGAAGCAAGTTTTATGAATCACAGTTAAATGAGCACCACAGAAGTCTGAACTGACATATTGTGCGTATAAGAATCTGCATCAGTGACGTGGGCAGATGTTGAATCAGCTTTGACGAAAACTGACTAATTCCACCTCCAAACCAACTGACACGCTCTGACGAATTTGCATGAGTTGGAACAAAAGTTTCACTGAAGCCCTTAAAATAATCCATTTATATGAATTTCATGGAGATGAATAAACCAAGATATATTAACCTGAAAGTAATTTTTCTGTTTTGACAGTCCAGTGGTTCCCAATCCTGGTCCTGGAGAACCCCCGACACTGCATATTTTAGATGTCTCTCTAATCAAACACACCTCATTCAACTCATCAGCTCATCAGTAAAGACTCCAAGAGCTCAAATGTGTGTGTCAGATTAGAGACATCAAAAACGTGCAGTGTTGGTGGTCGATACGACAGTGATCTTGGATATCACTGGTGGAGACTTAATCTAAATGTAAATACACAATTGTAACATTTATAAAAAATACTGTTTACATCTTTAGGTGTAAAATGGGGATGTACAATATATCGGTACCATTTCAGTTATCAACCGTTATTAGATATTTTTCAATTTATCAGTACCAGTCGATACTGGATATTTAATTGTTCATGCCCATTTCCTCTATTTAGATGACATTTGCCTTCATCTAACATTCACTTAACACTATGCCCAAACCAGCGACGCTACAATAAATAAAAAATATATATTTTCCATGTTACAAGGGATTTTTTCAATGATTTCTATTTCTGCAACATCACAGCTGACAGCTCATGTACTGATGCCATTTTGTATCATAATAAAATCATTTAATTTGAGTTTGTATATCATTGTGCATGACTTTAATAGCCATATAATGAAAGCAACAATGAATAATTAACCTCAGATCTTGAAAAGAAAAACTTAAAAGAAACAAGAGCATTCAAACTGGGATCTTTATGTAAACAAATATGCATATTCCATGGCAAACATTTTAACAGCCACCGAGTGTATTTTCAATAATGTCAAAATCATTTATTTAAATTAATTTGCAGAAAGAGCCCACCCACTCATTCTTCTGATTGGCTGTGATTTGTAATTGATTTTGTCACGTCTTGTAGCTGTGATGCGTCTGGTTTGGAAAGAAAAATTGTGTGTTGCTGAAATCTTATCGCATTGTCTGGTTAGAACATGGTGTTAAAGGTGGGGTAAGTGATTTCTGGTAGCCAATGTTGACATTTGAAATCACCAAAACAAACACGCCCCTACCCCAAAAGGGTCTCGCCCCAATTTTGAGAGCTCCGCCCCGCACATACGTACGCAACCCAGGCAACGATTAGTTCGGTGAAACAAAGCAAAACCAATGTTACACCGTGTCTACACCGGACGCGAGCGGCGCGGCATGACAAAATACTATAGAACTCATTATAATCAGTGATACTGTCTACATTGGATGCGGCGCGACACGACAAATCCCCAACAGAAAACTGCTGCTGCGTTCTGATTTTCAACGGTCGCTTTGTCGCGTCCAGTGTAGACAAACTTTAGCTGTTGCGGTGCGACAACTGTCGCGTCCGGTGTAGACACAGTGTTACTCACCTATCGATAAGAAACAAAGCAACCTCAGTGTCCGATCGCAGGCCTTCCGCTACTTGAGTTCTCTCCAGCACTGGAAAGCTGATCCGATATTTACACGGGTCCTACTTCTTCCCTTATTGTAAGCCTTCTTTTCCTCTTTTGTTTTTTATCCGCCATCTCTATCTTTCTGTTGCTCGGCTCGGCTAATGTCCGTCCTGTGTAGTGATATTTGGCATTTTTCAAATATCGGCATTGGCCGATAAGTTTTTCTGTTTGGCCGATGTGGCGGGACTTTTATTTTGATGGCACTGAGAAGAGCAGCGCCTGAGCGCACACCGCTCACATTCTCCCTCTTGTTCGCTGTCGTCGTTCAGTTCTGTCTAATATGGATAGAAGTCTATCTAATAATCAGATAGAACTGTTAAACAAAGGAATTAAAATGTATTCAAAAAAGTATTATAACGATTGCTTTAATATTATTAGTAATAGAAAGGCAAACATTATAATACTTTCTCATTTGCCGTCAGCATTCAGCAAATACGCATTATATCATTTAAATCTTTTAATGACTGATGAACATTTAATTTCACAAACCTTGCAGACTTAGTCGAAGTATCCTGCATGATCGCGTGTTCTCTGCGTGACGGTCGGTCCGTGCAAATTGAATGCTGACAGGAGAGTTCAGCTTGACTGGAGACACGCGATCGACAAACTTTAAAACTAGCGATTTCAAATTATGCTGCATTTTATGCATTTGCCCACTGTCATATTCGTGTCATTTTCATTGAGTGCTGTATGTAAAATAAGTGTTACCTTGGCTTTATTTATATAAAAAAAAAAAAATAAAAAAAAAGGATTCCCAATGCACACAAACATCCCAGAATACTGAGTGCCCTGTTGGTTACAGTGTTTACTTCCTTTTTAATTAGATTTTTATTAAATATTTATTTATTTGTTTAAAATGCTTTGTCTTCTAAAGTATAAGTATGTTTATTTTACACAATTATTTTAATCCATTTCAAATTTCTTAAAAATAAATTAAAATAAATAAAATTATATCGGCTTTATATCGGCCACCCTGCTTTCCAAAATATCGGCATTGGCTGTCAAAAAACCCATATCGGTCGACCACTAGTCCTGTGCACTGAGCGCCCTCTCCTCCACATCATGAGTAGACACGGCCCTTACTGCTGATTGGCTACAAGTTTGTTTTGGTACTCGGCCCAACTCAGTTTTCTAAAGCGTTTTTTGGAAAAAAAAACATACCCCACCTTTAAGTTAATCTTTTAAATGATAATAATTTAATAACACAGTTAAATGTAATCTTAAACCTCAAAATGAATAGCCTTTTTTCTTACTGTACATTATAGCATATAAATTCACTAGTGGCATTTAAAATGATTTGAAGAACGTAAAGTAAGGTAAATTTTCATTTCATGCTGACTTTAAGTCTTCATTTCGTTTGCTTGCCACTATGAATAAATAAACCACTAAAGGACAGAAGAGATTTAGGTCCTGCCAACTGCCTGTTACATATGCCATCACACACTTGATCTTTACTGGCTGAAGAATGGGATATCTCAAAGGCCCTTCCTGTTCAGAAACAAGCTCAAAGCTTTAATGGCCTATAAAGAGAGCATATAGTCTACTCTGTGCAGATGGAAGAAGGTCAGCTCTCACAGAGGGCCATTTAATCTGCATGTTTTCACATTAACCAACAAGAAACATAATTCACTACTCTTAAATGCTAAACATCACACAAATTTGTGTATTTACACATTAAGTATGTTGTGAATATGACTTCGCTTGTGTGTGACACTATATGGTGTCAATCAAACAACACAACACCACACATGGCCTCTCTGTGGTGGCAGTAGTGTTGTTTTTGGCGGCCTGTTTTAATTTTAGTAAGCATGAATTTAAGTAAGCTTTGTGAAAAAACTAGAAGGTCAGGTGAGATTCATTCATGAAGTGTTAAGAAACTTGAATAGCCTTGACTCAATGTAGTCAACAATTTTTACAGATGATTTTGAATGAAGCATCATGTCTATATGTCCGCATCTGCGAGAATAAATGCAAAATTGGTATGTTGAAGGCCTATTCTCACCAATAAGAGCAAGATCTGTGTGATGTATTGTGCTGACAATGGAAGCCACAGCAGGGAGAAACATCACTTATTGCCTGAAACAGTGTACAGTGTCAGCTTGTGTGTGTGTGTGCGCATGCATGTGGTCAGGCCCAGTGGGTAGTAAGTCAAACGTTCAGCTGTCAGTCCAAGGTGGTCTGAATGGAAAAGACCTGAGCATGTCCATCACCCCTGCTCAGCCTCCAGATGGCTCACCATGGTCCACTTATGGATCGTTTCAGTCCACCTTTCGTTTCAACTGCTATCAACAGATTCAGAGAATATTTGGAGATATTTCACCAAAGAAGAATGTCCCAATTAAAACAATTAATAATTTAATTATTATAACAGTAGTTAGCAACACATTATTTTAGGTTGGACAAAATATAACACTAGTACATACTCGATCACAAAAAAACAACAACATTGCAATGCAAATTTGTAAGGCACCCATGTTGAGATGCTGAATTTAGTTTGGTGTACCAATGAGGGGGGGGGTAGGCTGAATCTACCCAAGAGGTCAAGGTTTAGCTTGTTACCCTGTTAGCTCCTGCTGGTAACGAGACCATCTGGTTTTAAAAAGCACCGTGGGCATTTAAAATCAGGAGTGTATTCTGACAACATAATGTTTCTTTTGTAGGCATATATGCCATATATTGCTAATATAGGCCTATTACTTTATTACTCAGATGATGCTCTGTAGATCTAATATAAAACATTTCAAATCACAGTTTCGGGTGTTCCTGAGCTTTCCGTATGGTTTTCTACAGTACAGGTATTATAAGCCTCCTCGACTCCACCACAGTCCAAACAATATAACTGTCAATTGTCGACAAGCATTTCTTATCAGCTGACACATAAAATAAAATAACTATTATAAATACATTTAATTTTAATTTAATTTAATTTAGTGTCACATACGTGCATGATCGATCACAGGAATGTGAGATGCTTAATAAAAGGACACATTATGCACACCGATGTTACATGAATGTGTAGCCTACATCTCTGTATTATTCACCTTACATCATGTCTAACTTTTAAACATGCTTGTATTAAGGAAGCACATTCAGCGTTTCACAGTGGTTGTTTGCACAGCCTCTTCATACCGAACAGAAATTGTTGTTGAATGGAAAAGCTGTTGTACACATTGTTTTACAGGAGCTGCCATTCATTCTAGTCTGCAGTTATTCTCAATTGAATTCATCCTCTTTTTTCAGCATGAGACAGACACTACAGTTGTCGTGCCAGGAGAACAAGAAAATCTTAATATTACATTTTATAAGCTAATTTAATATTAAAATGTATAAGCTTATGCAAGTTCTTAATTAGTGTATTAATGTAAATGTTTTTGAGAGTAAAATATGAAAATATTAAATGTATTAATACAATGGTACTAATTTTATAACTTAATGATTTCAAGTGTAGTTTGGCAAAATTAAACTTTTTTTAACAGAAAGGTTGATCTTCATGCATTTTTATAAATCAACACAAACTAATTAACTTGATCAAAGCCTTGATTTGAGTAGATTAATGACTGTAAATGAGTGTGTCATGTGTTCCTTTCAGAAAAATTTTCATGCACTACTGTTCAAAGTAGGGGGTCAATAAGATTTTTTGGAAAGAAATTAATCCTTTTATTAAGCAAGGGTGCATTAAATTGACATTTACATTTTAAATAAATGCCATTCTTCTAAACTTCCTCAAAGAATACTGAAAAGAATTATCACAGTTTCCACAAGAATATTAAGCAGCAGCACAACTTTTTTCAACATAATAATAAGAAATTATTCTTGAGCAGAAAATCAGCATATTAGAATGATTTCTGAAGGATCATGTGACACTGTGATAGGTGCTGAAAATTCAGCTTTGCCATCACAGGAATAAATTACATTTTAAAATACATTAATACAGAATTGCAAAATGTATTCTAGAAATGTTATTTAAGTGTTCTATAGATTATTTATTAGCAGGGTTCATTATAAAAATTTTCAACCACAAATCCAAATATCCATTTCACTAAGGTATTCTAAAAGCCAAATTAATCAGGTTTGTATACCTTCATCTTGGTCAGATGATGCTCAATAGCCACACTACATTCATATAACATGCAAACGACAACTGGCCCTCATCGAGAATAAGCAAGTAGGCTACATTAAAATAACTGTTGTTGATCAATAGTCAGATCAATATTGACAAGGAGCTTGAAAGAGCTCTGTTTTCTGGTTGTAACAAGTGGTAATTGAAATGATCAGGATGTACATATATAGACACAGAGCTACGGAATAGAATCAGCCATAAGACTCAGACCAGAGGATGCGAGATCTTATGCTGAAACAAACAACTTGTCCACTAAGACCCTATGGATGTAATCTAGGAATGAATGGAAGATGGGCTTTGGAGAATTGATGGTAAGAGTGGAAATGAGAAATGTATAAGAAAGACCTCCTTGTCTCATGAAGGAAACGCATGCATGCTCTTGCTCTATAGCCAGCAGTGGTAAAAGGCTTCTGCACAGATATGTGTGCTTGACCCACATTTCCTTTCCTTCCATAAAAATGCATGAGCTATGCATCTACAGCAAAAGAACTGCAGGATGAGGCAGTATGTGTATGTATGTCCTGTATGTAACCTACACATGCAACTGAAAATCTATGCCAAATCAATATCCTATTATATATCACTTTTTGCAGTCATTGCATCACCAAACACATTCTATTAATGGTACTGAAAATTAATTTCACTGACATCCAGGCATACACCAAATATTATGCTGAAAGTAGACCCACTATAAACTATCAAAAGACCAGCCTACTTGGATACACAAAGTCCAAATAAAAACAAATAATACTACAAAAGATCAGTCATTACATGAAATTAAAACTGCAATCTGCAATCGCTCTCTCAGTTAAAGAGATCACGCAAACACATATGCTGACTAATGCATTTAACCTTAGCGCAAAGTCCTACATGACTGCTCATGTTAATGGAATACCGTCACTGTGAAACGTCAGGACTCAAAAGAGAGTGAAAGTGAGTTAGGGATGAAAACATGGTGGACTTGGTAGCAAAAGAGCCCAAGTCTCTCTAACGGTATTCAGATCCACACAGGAATGAGGGAAGAAGTAAACGCAGAGAAAAATAGGACAGGTGTCCTATATAACACAGGACACAAACAGAGGGAGCAAAAGCCTTTGCTATGCTTAGAAACTAGCTTGTAATCTTCCCCTATAGCTAAAAAAATAACTTTCACTGTGCTTTTTAACAGTTGGTTCCAGTCCACAAATTTGATTGACAGAATCGGTGTTTCTTCTCACTCTGTGGTTGCTCTGAGCTGGGTTTCTCTCACTACTAGGCTGAGTGCCACTTCACAGTCTCATCGACTCAGATGTGCGTCATTGCTTATGTCGCATACGACTGATGGAAGTCCTGCATTGGGTTTAAATGGAATGTCTTAAGTCCTTGTTCACTTGGAGTCCACTATGGAGCTGATTATTATTATTTAATTTTTTTTTTCTTATGTATTTGTTTGATGCACTATTCTATGTGGTAATATGCCGTTGAAAAAAGCTGTTGGAAAAAAAAAAATCTAAAATTATAATTAAATATCAATATAATCAACTACGATTGTGTGTAATAAACAGTCAGCTTAATGTGGTTATATGGTTACATCCCAAAATAATTCATAAATCATATATAGAGTTGTGTGAGGTAGGGGTAAATTAAGCACGATCTGCTGTAACATCACAGTTGTGTTGCTCTGTGATTTATGGAGCTACCTAAAGTTTACATATGAGTTCATACTAGGGCTGCACGATTAATCGCATGCGATATGTGAAAGCACGCAGGTGATGGAGATTTACCGCTGATTACAGACCGGCTTTACTGATAAGATGCGCGTTAAATATCGCATGCGATTAATCGTGCAGCCCTAGTTCATACAAACTTCCATCATCCACTTAACGAAGTGGAACGTGCTTCAAAATGGCGATGGGATTCCCAAACGGAAAGTGCTTAGGAGAGTTCACGAGTGTTTGTCTAAAAACAAAGTGAAACGCACCGTTAGTGTGCACAGAACGTTTTGAGCATGGGAGGGTAAATCACCATCTCTCCGCTCCACTCACATATGCCATTCCAGACCATGTGTGTAGTTGACACAAAACGCTGAAAATTTTGTAACCGTTTTTACTGGCGGAAAAAACACAAACTAACTGGCATTTCTTTGCCTGAAACATGGCGATCTCAAGTCCATATGAACCACAAGTTGTGACCGACTTCAGTATTGTGATGAATTTCCAAGTGAAACAGAATATTGAATGAGAAAAATAGAGGGAGGGACTTGATTTTATCACACCTCCTTGGCGTCTCTAGATCGCAGCAGACTGATGGTTGGAGGGGAGTGGTTAAGGATGTTGTGCCCAATGCCTAACAAAGTAAATAGGGTCAATTTTGATTTAATGTGGACTTCAAGAAATATCGTACTCACAGTGTTGTAGCCCTACTGATTGCCAGCACGACCCGAGGTACTTGATTCACAACCGTGTTGATATGGACTGTTAAATAGGGTGCAGACAACTAAAATCAGTTTACAATGGAGTTCAAATAAAAAGAATATTTTAAGATAAACTACACCCATAATTGTCAATAACTAAACAAGAAAATACCCATATAATAGTACCTATAGTAACAGAAGAATTCTCTTCCATGAGCTCATTCTTCCATAACAAGCCAGTCTGTATGACGTCATTTTTAGCTAAGCAACCTGGTGGCTCTTTTCACAGATGGTGTGTGTGAGAGCTGATGCTGGGAAAACATGATTGTCTGCAACAAATCTCTCTTTTTGTTCTCGGTCCCAGTCATCCGATGTCATTTAATCTCGCATAATTATCATAGGACCTAATTTGAAGTTCAATGCATATTCATAACACAGCCATAATACGCTTCCTATACAATAATATACAATTCGCACTTGCCCTTACAGTCATTATGCACGCACGGCCGATGCAGCCTGATCGTGAACAATAAAAGAAGCAGACAGCGAGCGCCCTGCAAAATTCAATCCTGTGCTATTGCAGGACAGAATGAAGCAAGGCTGCATATATAGTAATTCTTGCGACAGCCAATTATTTTTCAACCGTCTTCATTCAATAATAATACAGAGATGCTTATTGGCTCGGGTTCCATTCACAATATCACTCCCGACTCGAATATCAGGGTGGACTAAAAGGAACAATAGACAAAGGGTGAAAATCAAAACTAAACGTAACGCGTTTGGCAGCGTGCATCTCTGCGAAATAGCGCTCGTTCCGTTCATTGACCAGGAACGCGGAATGATTTGACTGATCGCTGTTGTTCTACATCAATTACCAGTGTGAAGAACAACAACGGTCATTTCTGTGACACTTCACACCATCCAGCACATCTAAATGCATTTACTCCGGTGCATCAAGCCTGCGTCTCAACTACAATGACTCACCTCTAGCGCGACGGCTGTGTCTCTCTTTCTCAGATCAGGATGCGGTAATACACGACAACTCTGTGTGATTCTGTCAAAGATGAAACTGTAGGTTGGATCGTGTCAAGGCAATAGAGGCGACAGAGCTGCGTTAACATGGTTTTAGTACGTTCGGAGAGCAGGAGCGTTCTTGTCCTCAAAATGACCATCAGAGTTGACAAAACTGTGGCTTTAGATGCTGTGACTGAATGCATTTGATGTGCTCTGTTAGGCTTATTTCACACACACACACACACACATATATATATATATATATATATATATATACATACATATACATATATATGGGGATGATATGCGTTATGCTTTCTATGAGAAATATTTCGCTTTGACTGAAAGCTACAGAATATATTTTAATGGTGGTGTGTCTGACTGATGTTTGACTATCTTAGTCCACTAAGACGTGTTAACTTCAGTCGTGTTTGTCTTTTACCTAACGCATACATCGCCGAGTGATATCTGTCAAAAAGTCACTGATTTGAGACCCAACCTGAGCACTGGTGTAGTTTAGTTTAGTGCGGCTATCTTCTGTTTCAGCTCCTCGAGAACAGCGTTTCCAGGTAGTGCGTGCCTGTGATTCTCGCCCCGACACAAATCTAGACATCCAGTGCGGTGGCGCACCGTCATTTGCATCCAGCTCATTCAAATCACCCTCCCAGGGAAGAGCAGGGAGTATCTGCCATTCGGCATCTACTGCGGTCGACGGTTCAGTTTGGCCAGTTGAATTTTCATTGACTGTTGTGGCAACCCGCTCAAACTAACATGCTTATCAGAACTCCACCGGGCTGTTAGTGACGTTCGGTACATTCCATTGGCTGGCTGCGATGTCAGTCAGGCTACAACTTACTCAAAGGGGCGGGACTAGCGTAGTACCGCCATCTACCCGTTGGATTTAAAAGGGACGTGCGCCGCTCTGCGGTGTCTTATTGTAGTGCCTTTAAAACTATCTTGTGTGGAAAGAAAAAGTGATATTTTCATGCTTCCATTGATTAGGAGACAACACCAGAAATGTAACTTAACAATAAAGGCGTTTATTTTCAATATTTAATTGGTAAATGGGCTGCCGTCTTCTACAATAATAAAATACAACAAATCTGAGAAAAAGAAGATTAAATCAATACAATTATATTAATGTACAAAATAATCACAGCCTTCTTTGTCCTGTTGTCTGTCTGGTCATTGCCTCAACCCTTTTCTACACTTGAAAGCTTCAAAAAGAACAGTGTCTTTGTTTTGGAGAAATTAGGAGCAGACTGACCAGGACCTAGTTGTGTTAGTGACTCTCTTTCTGATCTGATCTCTGAAAAACACAAACACCACATTGTTCTGATCAGGTGAGATGTTACGCCATAACCTTTTGTCATAAGATAGTCAATGGCTGTTAGATCTACATTTAAAGCCCTGTAAGAAGAGTGGCTTTAGAACAGCATGAGGATGTCCACTTATTTACAGTCACATGCTCACATTAACAAGATTGTACTGACCAAATAATGACCAACTTGAACAATCAAAATAGTCCATAATCCTGACCATAGTTTACGGTTGTTATTCTGGAGAGCACTTCGATCTTTACAAAAAATATTTGTTAAGTTAAAAAAAAAAAAAAAAGGCAACAGAGAAATTAAAGACCATAAAAGAGCTCTTGACAGAACAATGAAAAGAAGAGGGCTGGACGCAGGTGACAATGAAGACCTCAGAGGAAGTAGGGTGTTGTCGTTCTAGGTGGTATGACCCTTTCAGAGTCAGGAACGGCCCGGAATAACTTGGGCTCCCGTGTGTTCACATCTTTGAAGACCATGATGGAGGCAATGTTACCACAGCGGTAGCAGTAGTTTGGGGCCGACCAGACGGTCACCAGCTTCTCGTCAAACATGAATTTGTAGCCCTCGTGAACTAACTGATGTGCACGGCAAATCAACTTCAAGTTGTTGATGTGAACAAACTTTAATGAAAAAAAGAGAAAAAAAAATAATCATGTTTTGCAAAACCAGAAACATTTACTGAAAGTTTTTACTTTTACTAGTATGTCACACTTTTATTAAACAGCCAATACATTGAATTAAATAATTTTCATTAATTGCTTATTTCATTGTCAAACTAATATTCAGCTCACAGCGTGTTTCATTAAAATTCAATTCATCCAAGAAAATACAGAGGCCACAAAACTAAATACAGTTACTTTAGTCACAGTTTTTACCTGATTTGAAATTATTGTATTTCTAGTTCTCAATTTACTGGGAGATATTTTTGTGAAACTTCACTGCACTAGTAAAGTATATGAGGATGCCAACAACTACACCTAAATTTCAACGCAGACAGTAAGTGACAATATTCAGTTTTCCACTTGTAATTATAGAAATGTCTCAAGTGTTGTTTACACACTTTCCATCGGACTAAACTGACTGTACATGGAGAGAATGCTCTTACCTCATTGGTAACCTTAGCACCAAACAGCCACCCAGCACCCCTTGGGCTGATTGCCCAGGTGTCCACATCCTCTGGATCGGACCAGACAAGATCACAAAATGCTCCCTTGTGAGGGATTTCCTGGTTGCGTTCAATGGTGCGTATCTGGTCCAGAGTTTTGATGTCAGGTGAAAGGCCACCATGTACACAAAGGATTTGCTCATCTATCAACTACGGGAGAAATCAAAACATCACAATACGTACAGCAGAAGAAAAAAAATAACCATAAACATTCTCTCGGACCGTTATAAAGTGCAAAATGTCATTTTCAATCAAAGTGACAGTGTAGAGTTTAAGCATTAAATATACAATAAACATATCTGAAGTAATGAATTTAGATTGTGTACTATATGTACACTATTATATTATAGACATAATGGATAATTATATGAATAGTATTATTTGTATACATAAATTATAACAATAATTAAACATTACCACCATTTATTATTATTATAATATTAAAAATACATATAAATTGTATTCTAAAGACAATACTTACAGCAGCAACAGTCAGCATGTCAAATACTTTAGTACAGTATCGCCAGGCATTAGCATTTCCATATTTCGTTTGGCACTCATCTATAAATGGAAGGAAAGAATGGAAATGAAAATCAAAAATGCACAACAAAATACAATAAGCATGTTATTATATGAAGTACGATAAGTATATTATGATTTCTGCAGTCTCACCATAAAAGCCATAGACTTGTGTGATCTGCCTGCTCTCGTGATTGCCACGCAACAGTGTGATGCGGTCAGGCCACTTTGCTTTAAGTGCTAGCAAATATGTGAACGTTTCTAAGCTGTAGTATCCTCGGTCTACAAAGTCACCCTAGAAGAAAAGCAAACATACCAATGTCTCTTTAGTATAAGCTTGGGGGAAAACATTGTTTCCCATGAGTCACCAAATATGAACTATAAAACAATATTTATTATGTATAATTATCTTTATGGATACAATACCATGAAAATGTAATTTGTGTCTGGTACTTGGCCCCCAGTTCTGAAGAGTTCACATAGGTCGTAAAACTAGAGATAAAGAAAAGGTTTAGGTCAATATGCATTTTGTTAACAAAACAAGGACATTGTCACATCATCTGTGCATAACAGAAACACATTCATGGGGCCTGCTCGCACCTGTCCGTGAATATCCCCACATACAGTGACTGGAGTGGATACTGGCTGTACATTTGATTCTTCAAGCAGCAGGTCACATACATAGTCACACAATCTCTGTCAAAGCAATAGAAGAGAAGACAGCAGGTTTGATCAAGCTTGTAAAGGAAATGGCATCACTGATCATGACAGCAGCAGCAGATCACTGCATCTAAAGTCATATGAATTCATTTAATTCACATTTTTTAATATCACACATTAGTGGCTTGGATGATACAGTCTTGAACTGCATTATGGACTAATTCAGAAGCCTAGCTGTTTACGTACAGGAGCTCTATTTAAAGCCAAGAGAATGGAGGATGTTACAGTCAAGACTAAAAACTGCTAATAAGCAAATATAATAAAATGAGACTAACTAAAGGGCTGACGATGGAAAGTAGATGGGCGTTTCAAATGAGTACGCTTGATGGCAACAACGTAAGTTAGCCACCCCGGGGATCCACAAGAAATAAACTGTTACACACCTTTATTAGGACTGACTGCTTTCTTTGGTCGAATATCCTGTTATTTCTGCTAGCACGTATACAATTAATCCCGGAACACACTAAATGGATTCATATGCAGCGCTAACGACTGCATTGCAACACACTGACTGCTACGTTACTTTACCAACCATTACCGCATGACTTTACAAATATATCAACAGCTACTATGTTTAATATTCTGAGAGAAAAATATAATTACTGATAACAGTCACCTTTAAGTCGTTCTCTGGAAGGTATTTGCACTGTCTCGCAATTTCCACATACTTATCTAGGTCCAACGGCGCCATTTTAAGAACAACAGTCGATGGAAGAAGCAAAGAGGAAGTCTTTCTACGTCATGCCGGGAAGTAATGATTGACACGGGGATCAGCCAATCAGTACTTTGATACGATCCCGAGCGCCACTTTCACCGCAGAACACTAGATTCAGGGGGCGTGGCTGGATTCAGATCCAACTCCTCCCACCTTACATATACCTAAACCTACCCGTCTCCACCCCCTGATCCCTAAACCCACTCATCTCCACCCCTAAACCTGCCCATCTCCAACCCCTAGATGTGGATCCAACCACGCCTCCTGGAGTCATGATACAATGGCTGAACTGAATGTGCGGGAGAAAAATACAGATACATCACAAAAAAAAAAAAAGTAGACTACATAATCATTATCTTGGTTACATTATACAGATGCTAATATTTGCTGTATTTTAACACCACAATAGCTACACACATTTGAATGTCCATCTCCAACCCCTAGATGTGGATCCAACCACGCCTCCTGGATCTTGTGTTCTGCAGTGAGGGGCTACTGACTTGCAGAGTCAGTACTAGTGTCGGTGGTCATCATCACGCTCTCGAAATAAACCTGAAAAAAACATTGCGCATTAAATAGAGGCTGACGTTTGTCCAAAAAAGTTTAATAGTTTAATGATTAAATCGGTCGCGCATCAAAATCCAACTCCCTTATTAAAAGCATCGTCCATTCATTCACCACGAGGTGGCAACAAAGTTACCGTTTAATTAAATACAAACTAAGTTCAAGAAAATTGTAAATATGTACGAATCATCATATATTCGTTTATTTTATTTTTTAAGCTTTTATAAGAATTATCAGGAAATCATGTTATATGTCCACAAAATACTACTCAATCATGAATCACTTTATTTCCTTCTGATTAGCCTACCACTGCTGTCATGATACAATGGCTGAACTGAATGTGCGGGAGAAAAATACAGATACATCACAAAAAAAAAAAAGTAGACTACATAATCATTATCTTGGTTACATTAAGTTAAACATTATACAGATGCTAATATTTGCTGTATTTTAACACCACAATAGCTACACACATTTGAATGGACTAGACTAGATGTATATTATATAGGGCAACAATGGAACGTCGAAGGGATTATGATGATTATTAGAGCTATATATAGATTTATACAGTGTCTTATATCAAATGGTTTTTATGTTTGAATGTATATACACATGTTGCGTATATCTACATGCATACACTGTTTTGCTCATGTGCTCTGGGCATATATATAGCCATCTTCAGTATGTTTGTCTGCGCTAAGCAAAAGATGCAGTATGTTTTCAGGATTTGGCAGTAACTAG